CAATCTGCACGTAATGTGCGACCTATTGTTTACGTGTGAGTTTACCAAAAGGAAGCATCGCGTTAATGAACGGCAAATCATTTGTACGGAAACTATTTAAAACGCGTGTTCCCCTGATCAAAATTAGTATCCAGATAGCATAACTTGCTCGTGATTCAACAACTGAAGTGATACGAAGTTCAATTAGGGACATAAAACGAAAAGGTTTTGAGCTGAGCACTCACAGAGTTGACCCGGCAGATGTTGAGTGTGGACTGACCGGGACTGAATCTGCAGCGCGGCTTACTTAGGGCCTGCTGCGGCGGCCTGACGCTGGAGGAAGACCCGTTCCTTCGAATTAAGAGGGCGGCATTGCCTTATGACCATTTCTCTATGGCAGGAATTATTGAATGGTCCGGTTTAAAGAAATACGCGGAAGTAGATTGTGGATGTTTCGCCCGCGGTGGCGAGGACCCGTTTGTTTGGCCTGACGCCCACGAGATAATACCGGAGGATTGTGGCAAAGATTCCTAATCCTGAAGGACGAAAGATTCTTCATCAAACGGGAAGAGCTCGATTCGGACATGTTAGGAAGGTACTGCGGGGTCAAATGCTGTTAAACTGTCAATGAACGGAGGTTAGTTTGCTGTATATATACACAGCGCTTAACTCGTTTATTAAGCACCACTCTTGTCTAATTAGGTTTGATTATCTGAATGTGCTCCACGTGTGTTTAATTAGGTTTAATTATCTGAACGTGCTCCTCCCGAACTTTGTTAATAAAACATCATTTAATCTCAATAAGAACTGGATGTGCCAGTTTTTGAGAACAAAACGAATGATTTCCATACTGGAAAAGATCACCGCGATAAGTCTGGTCCTTTCAATGACCACAAACAAAAACAAATGATCAGTGACTGTTCAAATCAAATCACCGCTTCAGCGTAGCTCTCAGATTCGACCCCTGAGGGCAGACGCTGGTTTTGCTAGTCTCGAGGCAGTGGTGTTTTAGTTTCATTCACACACCGATGACTGCTAAGTGATTTTCCTAGACATGCTGTTCCCTGCCAGAGAAGAAACTAAAGCCTTGGGGTGGAGTTCACAGCTGTGAGTCTGTGTCTAAACACATGGGCCGAAAGCACACTGATGAACTCCATGATGTGTAGCCTCTTTTGCGTCTAACCATGTTGGCATCAATAGGGCTTCCACGAGGCCGCGGAGAGGGATCGCGAGGGGAAACTTGGAATGAGGCAATAAGAAAATAAATGTTTCGTCTAAAAAAAGTGGCCTTCTCCAAAACAGTTCTCTACTCTCAGTCTATCCCTCACAAATGAAAAGTGATTGTTTGTTTGACTGTGTGATCATTAACCGTGGTCTAATTACCTGGGGCAGTTGTGACTGTGTTGATGTTGTAGATTAGCTTTTGGATTCGAGTGATCTAAAAGACCTGAAATAACATGGGGAGAACACATTTCTTGATGGCTGATGGAAGTTCCCTTGTCAAAGAAGAATCCTCGGTCGAATAGTGAGACTACAGACATCTTTTCTGTTAAATGTGATGGCAGAAGCATGTGTGGTGTGCATAAATGAACATCTGTCCAGGAGTGTGCATCAGTAAAACCAGAGCAGGTGCAGTGAGGTCATAGTAAAGGCTGTTTATTAGTGTGTTCATACTGAATTTGGATTGGCCTGTTGATGGAGGTTGATGTTTTAATATGGGGGTGTGAATTTGCTTTGACTGTAGATGTTACCTGACTTGTGGCTTAATGGCACAATTGACAAAGTTGCCTTAATAAAGCTGTGGTATGTGTGGAATCATACCTGCCCCCTCAATGCCTCATGTATACCTGAGGTTATTTGCAGCAGTAAATTTCAGAATATGCATGTATATATGTATATGTATGTGTGTGTATATACAGTATATATTCTTTCAGAGTGGTGTACCAGTCTTGACATATGGAGTAGATCTAACATTGTTTTCACACAGAGAGCACAGACTGTCTCATAAAATCCAGCAGCTCTCACAACGTACTGTAGTTGTATATCGGTTGAATTTCTCACAATTGTAGCTCGTGAAGGCCATCACTTCCAAGAAAGTTTGGAAACCACTGGCGTTCGTGGGGAGGAGGGGGCTGCTTCTGCGTCACGTTGCTTTAATTTGTCCTCAGGCTGCCAAAGAAAATGATTAAACTGCTGAGGGGGTTTTGCTCTTGGCTCGCCAACTGCTGTGGCACACTATATTGGCTTGACTCTGACGCTGAACAAGTGCAATCTGTATAATTTAATGAATTATTATAAATAAGACAAAGAAAATAAAGTTGAGAGCAATAGCCCTAAAGTATAAAAACCACTGGACTTCTTCCAGCCATTCTTGAATGTCCTAATTACCTGACCATTTAAGACAATGTAAGACTATTGTTGTATTGTAACTACATACTTTATGGTGCAGCCTAACTGACAGACCTTTTTACCAGTTTATAGTCTATAAAAACAAAGTCAGCTTTAATATAAACGGATGCTTTTAAAGATATTGAAAGAAGAATAACAAGAATATATGTAATATGCATATGCAGTGCATATGGATGCTAAGCATAATAAGGTAGAAGAGACCCAGGGACTGTAACATGACTTGAGTTGTATTACACGACAGTCCTCAAATCTGATTGGTCGAGCAGCACTCCAAGAGTGAGACTTTCACTATTTGTATCACCCCACTTTCTGTGTTTATTCCAGACATACATAGTTTATGAACTGGTGGTTTGTGAACACTTTTAGACATACACTCGTGAACGTCCCTAAGCACTTCCCCTCGGGGGAATCCCCACCGCCATTTTGAAGTGTGTTCAACTTTGTCAAGTGGACAAGGGAAGTTTATTTGGAGAGAAGCTCGACCCCTCGATTTTGACCAAGTGAGCGAGTCAACTCAACATGTACACTTCAGGCAGAACACAGCAGCAGATCACACTTAATTTACTCCCACCCCACACACAACTCTAGTGTGTAATATTGGAGTTGTTTTGATATATCAAATAATATATCAGTTTCAAAATTGCAGATTCCAAGTGATCAATGGGTTAGGGGCCGTTCACACAGAAAGTGTTTTTCCATACCAATGTGCTACTTTTCCATGTAAACACGTGCTAGACGGACGTGTATGACCGTTGTGCTCGCGCACATGAGTGCCGCGTTTTTCAGAAGCCGTGTCAAGTTAAAAGAATTTCAACTTTTACATGCAGCGCCGATCATCAATGTCAGTTCCAAACATAGACAGTAAAAGAAATGGACACAGCGACCCCATAGCCCCTGGAGAAAAGTGAAGTCAATTAGAAGCACTCACTTCCTGATTGCCAAGCGCACTGCGCAGCCTCAAACTGAGCTGGACGACGTACATGTGACGTGAGCAACCTGTCTCACAGTTGTATGTCTTCTAGTAGTTGTGCTGTTGTGCCAAGAGGAATCTGAATCATTCCCTTCCGAATCTTGCAGAGCCGGAGATGGTGAGTATTAGATGTCCATGAGCTAGCAGCAGGATCAACTTTATGACTCTCTATGGGCTTCTCCCTTGACTTTATCGGACTTTATGCCTCCACGTCCCCCCGTGGGACTTCTACTTCTGTCTATACGGTAATTTCTCTACTGCGCGACAGAGAGTCGCATGTTATATGACGCAATCGTTAGCCTATTTTTACAAAAACTGCTTCTACGGGGCCATAACGTAAGATACAAGGTAATGGAGGCTTTTATACATTGTTGTGTTTCTTTAGAAATAAACAATGGGCAAATTGAGTCTTTAAACGCCTCAGATGTAAAGTTATTCGCTGTCAAAGTGACGCCAAAATGAATGGGAGTCAATGGAATGCTAACAGCAGGTGAAGGCTTGTTAGCCAATGGCGGCCCCCGGGGAGACTTCAGTTTCCGGCTGATGGATTACCCCCTTGGTTCCAAAACAGTGAACAAATCAGAAGACCCTGGAGGCGGGGCAATTGTTGCAAGCTTTTGTTCACAGTAGTTAGCATGGCAACTGTTGTGTCAGAAGATGGGGTGAACCCAGACAGATCTCTGTCCTGTCATTCTCTGAGCAACAACAGTTTTTATCAAGGTCCAGAGTAAGATCATTTTTTTTCCACGTCAAAAATATTAGCTATCTATTCTGCTGTTTGGCTATTTCCGTTATTGCATCACGTCTCAAAAGCGCATCTCGAGACCTTCGAGTTCTGTGTGAACGGCCCCTTAGGGTGTTCCATTAAACACATTGCAAGGGTTCAGCCAGTAGTGGACACTCATGCAACATAAGCAATGACTTACATCTGAGTGAACGAGATGGAGGGAAGTAAGCCAGGGAAGGGCATAAAAAAAATACTTAAATGCATCCCTGTGATACAAATTAGTCACTGAATAATTCACTCATGTGATTTGTTCAAAAAAGCTGAATAATGCAATAACTACAAATAAATTCCAATAAATTCCTGATCGCCTTTTGGAACACTCCATCATTTTTCCTTATTATTTGTAGGCTGTTAAGTTGTAACAACAGCAGCAATCTTTGTTCTTGACAATAATTTACAATTTAGGGATACATTGTAGATTTCTAAATGACTGTAATTTGAAGTAAATGAATATGGGGCTATCCAGCACTAACAGTTATAGATTTTTAAACTAAATTAGTTACAACACTCCCTGGTTTAATACTCATATATTTGTAAATTTGGAGCCTTTTTATTGGCCATTGCAATGGACTAAGCTGCATTTTGGGGTCACGGGAATATTCACTTGCTTATCTTGTGTTTTCTTTTCTACTCACGCCAGCTGTGCAAACTAAAAGCAGATGTTTGATTAAGCCTGCTTGGATCTGCCAGGAAATGGATAAAAGAAACGCAGTATTACGTCTCAGATGATGTCACGCTTCAGGTGACGGATGGGGCGGAACCCCGCGCACCTTCAAAGCCGGAATACTTCCTGAACCGGTACCTCAGCCGTATAAAAACCCGCAGCGCCTCTGAGGGAGAGAGCAAGGGAGAGAGCAAGCGCTCACAAAGACGTAAAACAAAGGTAGCCTACTACTGGACAGATTCAGGCAAATAGGCGACGTGTTTATATCCAAAGGCTGCTCTAGAATCTCTGAGAAGGTAGGGGCATTTGTGTTTACAAGCTATCTTTTATTTAATTAGATTATGTGTTAAATTGTTGTGTAGCGTGTAGACAAATGTCTGCATACTCAATGTTGAACGAATAGCTCATTTGAAAGCATTTTATTTCTATTATATGAAATTTATATAGTCAGCTATATATATATATATATATATATATATATATATATATATACATATACTAGTACTAATTTTAATATAAGAAAAAAATATTAAATCGGGCTATATATATATATGATATTAATATTAACACTGGTCCTAATATTTACTTCACTTTTACAACCAATATTAATTAAAGTCTGAATTCTGAAAACTAATAAATTTGAATAGAAATTATTCTGTTAAGTTAGAAGAAAAGATGTTATATTGATATTATTATTTTTTCTTGTCAGTATTGTCTCTATATGGTACAGTGAAGGTTAATTGACATAATAGGTTTTAATGCGTTCTCTAATAAATGGGAATCATTTATGTTTCACAGGCAGATTCTGCAAAAGGAATAGAAACCTCTCACCACATCTCAGCCATCAATCATGAATGAAATTCGTTTAGCTATTGACATTCTGCTCTTGTGTATATCCTGTGGAGCAAGTGCACTGGCAGCCTTCAATCCCACTGCATCTTCATCTCTGCCAGCAACCAATTTCACTGATATTAAATATCTCACCGAGGCCGCAAACCTTCCCAAAACCAGACGGAAACGTTATATTTCCCAGAATGATATGGTCACTATTCTTGATTACCATAATAAAGTCAGAGGAAAAGTTTTCCCCCCAGCTTCAAACATGGAATATATGGTAAGTCACTTATAATAATTACCAATTTTAAAATAAGTAGCCTGTGATACAGTCAGGAACAGTTTGTTTGAACTTTTGCTCTGCACCCTCACGGCAGTTCATCGGGTTCAGTTGTTTTATTTATTTAATTGTATAATTACCTGGCATTTTGCCTGGAAAGCACATTGCTGCTGTTGTAGCTGCCCATGTGAACGTTGCACATGTTACTGCGCTCATCACAGGATGCAGGAATGACAAACTTCTCTGTGTACTTTTGGCACCAGCAGCTGTTGAGCAGATTTAATTGGCTCAGACCACCAGAGTAGATCCTCTCCAGTGTTATCAATGTGTTAAGACTACAGCCAAGCACTGAAATACTTCCAAAAGTGCACCGTCATGGGAAATGCTGTATTAAATATGTTTCAATGGATCTAAATGTTTTGTTTGAACTCATTCTCTGATTTTACCATGATTTAAGGGGCAAAGATTATGTAATGGTCTACTGTGTTAAATAGTTTAGCCACATTTTCCAGCATAAAATGTACATCCATGGTTTGACTTCAATCACTCAGGAATCAATCAAATGTGTTAATATTTGGGGCAATTTTGCTTTTAATCTTCATTTTATGGTCAGAATTTGTACATCATGCTCTCTTAAAAAACATTAAATATGCAATGAATAAATGTATTTATTTATGAATACTGATGAAAGTGTATTCCATGTCTCAGGTCTGGGATGACACTCTTGCAAAAACGGCTGAGCAGTGGGCGTCTACATGCATTTGGGAGCACGGTCCTCGCAATCTTCTTAGATTTCTGGGTCAGAACCTTTCAGTTCGAACAGGAAGGTATGCATCTCCACCCTCAGTCCCAGTTTGTGATCAGTGATGTTTATACCAATGGACATTTAGACTTGAAAGACCAAGCTAAGCATTTCATCACAACATAATGAGATTTAGTGGTAAGTTTGGATTGTTTACAGGTACAGATCCATTTTGCAGCTGGTGAAGCCCTGGCATGATGAAGTGAAGGACTACTCTTTTCCCTATCCTCGAGACTGCAATCCCAGATGTCCTCTTAAGTGCTATGGGCCAATGTGCACTCATTATACACAAGTGAGTTGATTTAAGATGGTCTTTGTGTAATGAATTTCTTCAGGTATACTAGCGGTCACAGTTTGGGGTCAGTAAAATGTATTTATTCTGAAAGAAATTAATACTTTTATTTAGCAAGGATACATTAAATTGATCAAAAGTGACAGTGACAGTAAATACTTTTGAAATGTAACAAAAGATTTCTATTTCAAATAAATATCACAACTTCTTCAAATATTAAGCAGCACAACTGTTTTAAACATTGATAATAACAGAAAGTGCTTCTTTAGCACCAAATCCGCAGAATAAAATGATTTCTGTAGGATCATGTGACACTGAAGACTGGCGTAATGGCTGCTGAAAATTCAAAATATTTTAAAATGTATTTAAAAAAAGAATATGGTTATTTCATTATAATGCTGTTTTTACTGTATTTTTTATCAAACAAATGCAGCCTTGGTGAGCATAAGAGACTTCTTTTAAAAACATCTTACTGACCACAAACTTTTGAACATCAGTGTTTATCATTTTCATTTGACCATTGCTCACTTGTTGCTTCCATTTTACCAGATGGTGTGGGCAACCTCGAATAAAGTAGGATGTGCCATCCACACTTGCCATAATATGAATGTTTGGGGTTCAGTATGGAAGAGGGCAACATACTTGGTGTGCAACTATTCCCCAAAGTAAGTATATGTTTTCTGTTCTGTAGCTTAACTGCAGACTCCAGAACACTTTTCACTAACATAATTAGGCTAAGCTAGCAATTTGGCACTCCTCTGTTAAAAACATTTTTTTAACATGGACATCCACAAGGCTTTCTGGTTCAAAGACTTAGACGACCTCTCGCATTCCTGCTGCATGTGGAATTTTAGCAGAATTCTGCCTCTAATTCCAGAATCAAAGCACCATGATCTTTTGTGGCTGGCAACTTATGACTGACATGTGACCTCCTTCTTTCAGTCTAATTGGGCAGCGCACTTGAGAAAATTTTTAGGCTACTGCAGAGCAAGTTATTTTTAAACTCTTGTAAAGACCCGACTTGCTATCTGAGAACTAGTTAAAGTAGATCCGGATTGATTTAAAGCATGTCTTCTCATGGAATCAAAATAGAAACGCAGTTAAAATGTGAATATAAAATATATACAAAGCTAATTTCAAGCAGTTTAGTTTAATATATCTCACTGGTCTGTCATTAACAATGTTGATACTGTTGTTGTTTACAGGGGGAACTGGATTGGTGAGGCCCCGTATAAAGTAGGTGTTCCTTGCTCCACGTGCCCTCCGAGCTATGGAGGATCATGCAGTAACAACATGTGCTTTCCTGCTGTGAACTCAAATTACCTGCACTGGTTCAAATGAACACAGACAGACAGAATGCACATGCCCCATTACAGAGACACTGTCCCTCATGGGAATTTGCACAACATTCCTGCATCACCCTGTTTTTTATATTATGGGCCATATAGGACCATGGGTTGCAAGGCAGCAAGTTTTTTAAAGACATGTACATAACTTATTTTTCAGTGTTTATACCATTATATTATATTGTTTTGTGTATGTACCCATTTATAGGACATTTATTTATAGTTTATTTCCTGAGAGGGACTCTACTGTGATCTGTCAAGTCAGGATTGGTGCTTACAGTATTCAACCGTAACTGTATTCAGAGATCACGAGGTGCAGTTGCCAAAATTCCCATCAGGCCTTGTTAGCAAGTCTAACATTGCACGTTGTCTGTAGTCCCAGACTGGTCCTAATGGGATAATTCACCCAAAAATGAACATTCTGTCATAATTTACTCGCCCTAGTGTTGTTTTAAACTCTTTTTCATCTGTGGAAGACAAAAGAAGACCTTTTGGAAGAATTTTTCAGCTGTTTTTGTCTATTATGAAAGTCTTGGACCCCATTGACTTTTCTTGTATGGACAGAAACTGCTGAAACATTCTTCTAAATATCATCCCACAGAAAATTTTCTGTTATCATTTACTCATCCTCATGTCGTTCCAAACCTGTATGACTTACTTCTAAAAGAAAGGAAAAGAATGTTGGTAATGCTGAAGCTGTTTGGTTACTGACTTTCTTCAAAGTATCTTCTATGTTCAACCGAAGAAACTAAGTTTGTAACAACTTGGGAATGAGTAAATAATGACAGAATTGTCATTTTAGGGTGAACTATCCCTTTAAGTCATATGATGTCATGTCTATTAACCCTGGTGGTTGACTTTTGGTGCTTCAGAAGAAATGTTAAGTTAGTTGTTCTTGAACTGGGCTCAGACACACTAGAACTTCACTGGTTTGAATACACTCACTGGCATCCTTAGTAATGCTTTGCTTTGGGTCTTCCCTCTTGGAAGGTTTCCACATGCTTAAAGCTTACAAGCGTGTGCTTGGGGCTTAGAAGTTGTGGATTAGGCATCATTTGGAAAAACCTCTGCATTTTGCAATCCCAGAAAGAGCATTTAGTGAGATGGCTAATCATGCTGTACCCACATGAAATGTTGAGGCGGATTAACATAGAAACATGTTTGTGTAAGTGCACCTTATGTTTTTTAAATGTATTTGTATTGAGAAGAATGTCATTATTTGTGTTTTTACCAATTGTACATACATGTATTATGAATTCAGCAGTACAGTCTCTACAATGCATGCATAACAGTGGCACGTTATTGCATTGTATTGCACTGTGTTGATTTCACTTGTTTCGTTTTTTTAACTGCATCACACAAGCACTTGGGGAAATCTATCAGGCACTGCTCTGCATATGGAGGGGATATAAGGGCTATTTATCCCTTCCCCTCCTAACATGACATTGTTTATAGAAATGGCATTTTCTGCTAAATTCACTAATTTTTAATGATGTCATAGACTGCATCTTTTCATTGTGTTAATGTGTCTTTGTAGACCTCTGAAAAGTAGTTATGGTGCTGGATTAAATGACATAATTATGTAAATGTGTGTATTTGCACCTATTGTGGCAGTAACAATTTATTTATCATCTGAAATAAGCTGTACATAACTTTTTTTTATTATAAAAATCTCTTTTTTAATATACATTTTGTTATTTACACCTGTCATTTTGTGCCTCATTGCAAAGCAAAACCGTACAAAGGTTTGGGGTCAATACGATAAATTTTTTTTTTTTTTAGCATGGACACAAATTGATTAAAAGTGGCATTAAAAACATTTCATGCTGTTACAAAAGATTTGTATTTAAAATAAATGCTGTTCTTTTGAGCTTTCTTTTCATCAAACAATCCTGGAAAAAGCATAAATTATTCCACAAAAATATTAAACTGCAACTATTTTCAAAATTGATCATAAGAAATGTTTCTTGAGCAGCAAATCAGTAATGATGCTGAAAATTCAGCTTTGCCATCACTGAAATAAATGAAATTTAAAATATATGAAAATAGTAAACAGTGTTTTAAAATTGTAATAATATTTCACAATATTACTGATTTATTGTGTTTTTGATCAAATGCAGCTTCGATGAGCATAAGAGACTTTTTTTTCCAAAAACATTACAAGATCTGACCCCAAACCTTTGAAAGGGCAGCTCTCAAATAACTCCCATTAGCAACAGATTTTATGGTGAGAGTTTTGGATCAAGATTAGATGTTGAAAGAGACATCACCAGTGCTGGATGTGGGTTGAAATGATTTTGGACATTGGCCCACAAGCAAAAACAAATACATTCAAACCAGAAAATCTATTATTATTTGAAGTATGTGTTTCATAGAACTATAAACAATACGACCATCCTTGTTGACTATTAAATCAATGTTGTATTTATACTTTTTAATCAGACTCCTTGCTGATGTATATTGTTTTGTTAAATAAAGCTGAAAGTTTTGTCTTTCTTCAGTTGTGTTAACCTTGTTCACTGTTTTTTTCTGTCAACCCGTCCCATTCCTGTTTTCTTCTCTTTATTTTTTTTTTACACAGAAACAGACAAAGCTGATGGTGATTATGGGATCTTTTGAGGAACTCTTTCTCATCCCTGTTCCTTTTGATGTTCTGTTTACAATTTCACTAAGCACTGTAACTGTAAGACAGCTTCCTTGATATGAAAACTGGTTACAAGTGCATCTTAATAAGAAAACCTTGACTTTGGCCTAGCTGATACCCGTCTTCTACACAAACAAAATATGATCTTACTAAGAGGGGCCCTCAGTTCTGTAAAGGAGCGAATGAAACCGATGAACTCAGTGAAAGCTACAGGCTCCACCTCATGCACTCATTTGGGAACGGGTGGGGCGAGCAGGCAGACAGACTCTCACCGCTACCAAATTCAGCAGATTTGGAAGAAGTATGCAGATATCACAGGGAAATATGATGCCATAAATGTTTTGATCTATTGGACAGACACAGCTGTTCCTGTACAGACTTCAGCTGTGAGAAGAGGTGGAATCCTGCCAATGCCGTACAAAGAATAACAGGCCATCATACTTAAAAAAGAACGGATGGTATGCAGTAGCTGTGAAAAAAATATGCCAAAACATTAAAAAGGTAGTGTTTCACAGGAAGGATGAAGTGGGTGTACAGTAATTCTGAATGGACAGGCTACGTCAGCTTACAAAAATGTGCTCTATTTGCTACCTTTATTACTGGTTTTATTGCACACGATTCATCTGTCCATATTATTCAAAATAAAAATGTGTTAATCTTCATAATCTTTAATCAGAATGTAATAACTTGCACTTCCTCTCACCAACTTTCCTTTCCCACTAACGTCGATCTGACGACACGGACAGGGAAATGTCTGCAGTGACGACCAAATCAAACTAGTGTGGCAAAACAGAACTGGTGACAAAGTCCATTTTCACCCCAAAACTCTGATCCCCTTCCTTTACCTTGGTTGTTGCTCTTAGTCTTTATTTCACACTTACAACAATGCTATTTGTTTTCAACTAATAGATCCCTTACATGCAATCTGCATGCAGTCACATCATTACTGCATGGCACAAGCTGATTGGCCTCTGGTGATCCTGCAGCCAATAAGATTGCTTGCTCAACATTTAAATAGTCTAGTTCAGTGCTTGCTTCAGGCTTGTCCTTTCTATGAAATGCACTAATAAGTGAATGGTCTTTTATTGTTCCAAATCACTGAACAACGTTGCATGGTCTGCAATGCATTTATCAATTAATTAATGAAGCAAACATACACGTTCAAAATCATGTTTGGCTAGACCATGCAACATTGTTTAGTGATTTGCATTTATTCATACCTTGCATCATACAAAACAGAGTATGCTGCAAGGAATGGATAATTAAGCATACAAGCAAGCATGAGAATATGCTTGAGTCAACAACAGCAGTAAATTCGTTTTAAATCATTTTTTGATGTATTGCAAGTTGCAAATGAGGCAAATAATAAATAATTTAGTATATAAGCAAAGCTAGCATGAAAGCATGTTGAGTCAACAATAACAACACCAGCAGCGGGAAAACAACTTTGTTGTGAAGTTACAGGCAAGCATAACTTGCATGAGAACACATTTGAACTGAAATGAGGTATTTTTCATTCAAATTGAATGTGAAGGTTTGCATGTTACCCTGTGGTTTGCTGTTCGTCGCATGGCCATACTTTTGGATGTTCAAACAGCAAAATATAAATAATGCAGGTTGCTTGAATGCTTGCTCGGGTGGTTGTTGGGGGTTATTTTCTCCATCTCTCTCAGCTTGCAACATTAGCCTATCATTTGCTTAAGTCACACATAGTGCGTGTTCTGATTTGGTAAGTTGGAGCCATATTGACTCAGACACATACAGTAGCTGGTTTTGGGAATGGCATCCAGGTACACATTGCTAAAATCAGGATAGGCTAAATAACTCTGGGGTTCTCTAGTCTACTACTTTTTTTGTGTGTTTATATAATAGGGTCTAATTAAACTCTACATAGGACAATCAGTCTGGAGATAGGATGGATTGAATGGATGGGCCTAACCGAAAATCCTTTTTCACTTGGAAATACTTCACAGAAGTTAAATCTATTGTGAACAGGGTTTGACATTGACTTAATTTTAGTTTATTCCATTATTTTTAGGGCCCGAGCACTGATGGTGTGAGGACCCTATTGCCTCATTGTTTCATGTGCCACATTACGTTTATACAATACAGCTCTGTTTTGCTTTAAACTCTCAGGTCAAAATGACTAAGTCCAGCTCAAGAGGTAATGTTTCATGTCTTTAAACAAGGCTTCTTGGACCCGAGACTGTAGCTGCAAGAAAAATACCCCACCCGTGTGAATTACAAAATTCACTGTGCACTTGTTTGTATTCAACAAAATTTATTTGACAATATTCATTTTTGAAGCAACTCGAATTTGGGTAAAAAAATTCAGATCTCAGTTATTCTCACATTATTATTCTTTTTCATGAAATACAGAAACATCATGGCTTTAACTTGGAAGATGTGAAGAGCAGGAGATTCATTATAAGAGTATGTGAGCTTTCAATTTTTTGCAAACATGCCCTCAAACTCTTTCAGCGAAACATCAGGTGAATGTGGCTCATGCTGACGGCAGACCAGAAGAAAGATCCAGTGTGTCTGGCTTGAGACTATGCATGACAGACCAACAACCTGCTGATGAAAACTTGGCTCCCGCTCGTTTTCTTTCATGTCTCCCGGGAGCCATTGCAGATAGCATTTTTTTAATCCTTTTAATGCTTTTTCTCCTTCCCTCTCTGTCTTCGCAATTCCCTCTGAGGAACCATAACAAATTCGACCGCCGTCCCTCCTCTCCATCTCTCTGCACCTCCTTCCTCTCATCTGAGGTGGCTAAGTTCAGACTGGCCTCTACTGTCCTTGGCCTTTCCTCTTAAACACTGTCCCCACTTTCCATGATTCTCAAGAAAAAAACAGCTGTTCATCATAATGGAGCTTTAAGCTTTCATAATGCTTGCCAAATACTGCTTGGAAGAAAGCTTGTACATTCATTTTTGGACGCTATCAAAACTCACCTTTTAATTATTGGGGGTGGTGAAATAGAGGCTGACCGAGTCTGTGGAGTAACGTCCTGCATCTGGTGCTCTCCACAGCTAGATCTGGTCTGCTGCAAAAGCAACAGAATGGACTGTAAACATCCCCTGTGCAATGCCAAACCATCTCTCCAAACGCAGATGCTGCAAAGAGCAAAAGGTGTTAAAGGGACAGTTCACCAAAATATGAACATTTCTCACTCATTTCTGATTCTAAACCTGTATGACTTGACTTCTTCTGTTGAACAAAAGATATTTTGAAAAATGACTTTTATTTTAATGACAAAAACAATTGAAACATTCTTCTAAATATCATCTTTTATCTTACATTATTCTACATATCACGTAACTACCATCAATGTTATCATTAAAATGGTCATTGTTACAATAATCAAATTATAGCAGTTTCCTCTCAAACTGAAGCAAAATGTTGAAGTTAGAGATGAAAACATACAAGATACAAGT